CTATATTATCTCTCTCTCTATAGATACGAGAGAGAGAGAGAGAGAGAGAGAGAGAGAGAGAGAGAGAGAGAGAGAGAGAGAGAGAGAGAGAGAGAGAGAGAGAGAGATGCTCTCTATATATATTATATATCTATCTCTATATATATATATTATATATCTATCGCTCTTTCTATATCTATCTCTCTATCGCGAGAGAGATGGATGCTGTCTATATATATTGTGTGTGTGTGTGTACACACACATATATACACACACATACATACACACACACTCATAAAGCACAGTACTCTCTACATGCACAGACAATGAGCATGCCGTAGATTCAGACAGTACCGTGCCACTATTGGGACTCCCATGCGAGGGAGTGATATCATTTTAGCTTGGCCATTCAAATGGTCAGAGTGCACAAACCCAGTAAGAAGACCAGATGAAGATGGATGTGTGAAGTGCATACTAGCACATTAACCTGCAGGGGGACATATTTTTTTTTTTTTTTTATTCAAGTTTACTATTGCTTTAAAAGGTTACTAAGCTTAACTCCGCTTAATTCATTAAAGCTGAAGTTTAATCTGCTAACATTGTACCCTTCTTGGTCCTGCCCTCATCAATATACTCATAAAATTGAAAAAAAAAAAAACAAACCCCTTTGTGTTTTCATTGAATACTTTATATTAGGCCCAGTGATTTTCTCACTGGGACCCTGCTCTTCGCTAAGCAATTCAGGCAGATCATGGTTCGAAGAAGAGGCAAGTAGATTCTGTACATAGCTTCCAGAAAATATCCCAGATCCTCAAATGCCCTAGGTAACGCTCACATGTGATGTGAAATGCTCACTGAAATGTTTTCCTATATTCATAGTGGTGCGCAAAGACAAAAACACCTGTAAGTGAACAAAAAAAAGTGCATGTGAAAAATGCACACAAAAAGTGCACTTAAGGATGTGTCTCTAGTCCACCTCACGAAGAAGTAGGAGTTTACCTTGACCCCCCAGGGCACAAGGCTCCTGACAGGGGCAAGGTACATTCTTCGTCCACCTAGCCAAAAGGCTTGGCGGACCGGACCCTCTCCTCTCGGTCAACTAAAGCTGACCACCAAGTAATGGGTGAGGGGGCTCTCCCAAAGAGATCCCTCCCGTTTAGCGGAGGAAGAAACCTAATGGCCCTAGTTACATAGTTAGTCTGGCTGTAAAAATACAAAAGTCCATCCAGTTCAACCATTAAAAAAAACCAAAAAAAAGTTATAATCCTACACCCACAGTTGATCCAGAGGAAGGCAAAAAAAAAAAAATAAAACCCAGCAAAGCATGAACCAATTTGCTCCTGCAGGGAAAATGATTCCTTCATGATCCCCCGAGAGGCAATCGGATATTCCCTGAATCAACTTTATCTATAAACGTTAGTATCCAGTTATATTCTGTGTATCTAAGAAAGAATCCAGGACTTTCCTACAGAAATCCACTGAGCTGGCCACATCCAACTCTTGAGGGAGTCTATTCCACATTTTCACAGCTCTCACTGTGAAGAAACCTTTCCGTGTTTGGAGATTAAATTTCTTCTCCTCCAGATGTAAAGAGTGCCCCCTTGTCCTCTGTGATGACCTCAGGGTGAATACCTACACCCGAGTTCACTATATCAACCACTGATGTATTTATACATGGAGATCATATCCCCCCCTTATGTATTATACATGGAGATCATATCCCCCTTATGTATTATACATGGAGATCATATCCCCCCTTATGTATTATACATGGTGATCATATCCCCCCCTTATGTATTATACATGGGTGATCATATCCCCCCTTATGTATTATACATGGTGATCATATCCCCCCTTATGTATTATACATGTGATCATATCCCCCTTATGTATTATACATGGTGATCATATCCCCCCTTATGTATTATACATGGTGATCATATCCCCCCTTATGTATTTATACATGGAGATCATATCCCCCCCTTATGTATTATACATGGAGATCATATCCCCCTAATGTATTTATACATGGAGATCATATCCCCCCTTATGTATTTATACATGGAGATCATATCCCCCCCTTATGTATTATACATGGAGATCATATCCCCCCTTATGTATTATACATGGAGATCATATCCCCCTTATGTATTATACATGGAGATCATATCCCCCTTATGTATTATACATGGAGATCATATCCCCCTTATGTATTATACATGGAGATCATATCCCCCCTTATGTATTATACATGGAGATCATATCCCCCCCTTATGTATTATACATGGAGATCATATCCCCCCTTATGTATTATACATGGAGATCATATCCCCCCTTATATATTATACATGGAGATCATATCCCCCCCTTATGTATTATACATGGAGATCATATCCCCCCTTATGTATTATACATGAGAGATCATATCCCCCCTTATGTATTATACATGGAGATCATATCCCCCCTTATGTATTATACATGGAGATCATATCCCCCCCAATGTTATGTATTATATACATGG